AAAAGAACAAAAAAAAAGGGGGGGGGGGGGGTGCTGCTTCCACGCTGCTGACTCTGTCTGGATCTGGAACTTTCCTCACGGATCCACCTATCACTCCTCTCATCACCCTGATCAATCCCCCACCTTTGCCTCCACAAACCCAGTCATGCAGGCCCTACACAAATGCCTCTGTCTGCTGCTCCAGGCCTGTCTATTGTCTTCTCAGTTAAGAACAAGAATGTTATCTGTTGTACCTACAAATCTCAAACCAGGTGAGAAGAGTGCTCTTGTGGCATAGATGTCTACCTTGTGGTAGATATTCCAGGTATAGGTTAGGTAATTCTGTATACTTGTATAATTGTAGTTTTGATTATAATAAATACATGCAAAAATAGGAAGAGTGGATAGTTGTCATATCTGAGCTTCAGGTCACTGATTGATCTGTAGGCGGCAGAGCATTTTAATTATATTCAGGGACTCCATGTCTGTTGGAATAGGGTGATTTCTCTGGGCATATAATTTTTGTCTTATAATTGTTCATTTCAGGCCTTACAAGATGGCTGTCGGCTTCATGTTGGCTCATCCTTATGGCTTTACACGTATCATGTCCAGCTTCAGTTGGCCAAGGAACTGGGTGAATGGCAAGGTAAGATACTTTTATACAGAACAGAATAATTATACCTTAACTATAATTTTTGATGTAATGTTTGTTAAAAGGGTACCCAATATTTTCTCTTTGATGATAGGATCAAAATGACTGGATCGGACCTCCAACCTACTCTGATGGCTCTATCAAGCCAGTTCCTATCAATGCAGACACCACTTGTGGCGATGGCTGGGTTTGTGAGCACAGATGGCGCCAGATTAAGTAAGTATTGGGCATTACCTCAGATCAAATCAAAGACAATATCCTTTTTTGGTTGAAATACTAAAATTGTTATGTATCATATTCATGGACCCAGATGCCAACAAATAAACTATATCAATGTATAATGAAATATCACATGTCAATTATTTAAAAAAAGATAGATCATTTTTTAAAAATCTTTTAGAGGGTCATTTTGGTAGCACGTTCATGTAGTTTGTCCCTCTTTGCTTGCATGCTTCAGTGGTGAGGGTGTAATTTGTGTTCTTAATAGGCCAATGTGAGATTTGATAACCTTGGCGTCTCTGCTGATAACAGATTAAATCTGAACTCCAGACACAAAAACATTAAAAAAAACTCCAGGCAAACAAAAAACTTACCTTTATAGTGGGGCTACCCCCACACTGCAAAGGTTAAGTGCTCATTTTTTCTAGGTTATACTTATAAAGCAGTTTTTACTTACCTGATACCCTGTCTTACTGGCTCCATCCATATTACAGCTTTAAGTTTTTTATTTGCCGGAAGTTCATTTTTAATTTAAATATATTCCACAATAATATAACCACAATGCATACAAATCTACTTTATGTGCACCAAACCCAGTTAGAAGCAGTGATATCATCACTGTGCTGCACATAGCCTGTGCAAAAAGCAGAATTACAGGCTATATGCAGAAATCTACAAAAAGGGCATACAAGACCTGTAACCCTACACTAGGAGCGTTACTTATTACGGAATGGTCCTATTAAGATTCAATGTGAGTACCCATGTGTGTGTCAGGCTTTCCTAGACTACCAGGGCCTTTACATACTGTATCTTAAAATTTCAACTATCACTGTCCTAATGGTTATATGCTTTCCTTGTTAGGAACATGGCCATCTTCCGTAATGTGGTAGATGGACAGCCCTTCTCTAACTGGTGGGATAATGGAAGTAACCAGGTGGCCTTTGGTCGTGGAAACAGAGGCTTCATTATCTTTAATAACGATGACTGGTAAGTGTTTTGATTGCTATTTTTATGCATATAATTATAATTTAATTCTACAGACTAAGAACGTGGTAGTTATATTATCAGCTCTAGTGTCTCTCTAATGTTGTCTCTGAGATTAGAAAAAAGCTATCCCGCAGGGACATAATATATGTAAGCTTATTTTGTGGATAGGAATAGCATTAGCACATAATGGTATGACTTAAGATCATGACACTTTTTCCTGTCACTTGATTTGCAGGTACATGGATGTCACTCTGCACACTGGTCTTCCTTCTGGTACCTATTGTGATGTCATCTCAGGTCAAAAGGAAGGATCTCGTTGCACAGGTAGACAGATATCCGTGGACTACAGTGGCAATGCTCGGTTCCAGATCAGCAACAATGATGAAGATCCCTTTGCTGCCATTCATGTTGATGCCAGACTGTAAAATGCTACAAAAATGAATTTTCCATGAATGTCTATCCCATATACAGTGAAGTGACCTCCTTGTTGCGTAAATGTAGTATCATTACACAACAGAGATTCACTAATTAAAAGAGTAGAATGGTCTGTCACTTGTTTATACTTAATAAACTTTCATTGTTTCAAATCCTGCCTATGTTTATACTTAAAGTGACACTAAACTCAACAATTCAATAATAAAAATAAATTCTATGATATAAATAATAATATATGACTGTGTACCTGGTTTTGTCATTGTTCAGCTCTAAATGCACCAAAATCAGTTTTATTTTCTCCAGCCACAACTTCCTGCCAGAGGGTGGCTACTTTTCTTCTCCATGGTCCCTATGGGAGCTGAAAAGTAGCCACCCTCTGTGTTGGTTCATGTAAAGGACAACAACATGCTGGGGGCGTGTCTTCTCAGTCTCCACCCACACATCCTCCCCTCTAGATTCTGCAAGGAGCTGGGATTTCTTCAGCTCTTCCACACTAACATATATGATCTGTGATTTCTCTCCTCCTGGCTTACAAAGGGGGGTGTGTGGGGGGAGCTGCTTGTGATGAGATTCAGCATGTGAGCTGTCATCAGGTTCATACTTTCGTCTCAGCTCACATGCTGAATCTGGTCACACAGTCACAGAGGAAATGGCTTCTGCATTTGAAATAAAGTTGTTTTTCTGTGTTGATTTTTGTAAACGTATGCTTGTTGTAGATTTTTTGTAAAGTTGTTGTAAATAGTTTTGATAATTCAGAGCATTGCAGAGGAATGAAACTGTCACAGTGTGTATAGTGAAGAGGGGACGAGGCGGGGTGAGGAGGCATCAGCTGTGTGCAGTGAGAGATGATTCCTCTCTGCCTTATGGGAGTTGTAGGCAAAGAAAGACGTGCACATGACCAGAATCAACATGCACGGCTCTTACTAAGGGACAGGAAGTGTAAGGGGAGATAAGAGACACAGGAGCGAGCACAGCAGACTTTCTAAAGGGATTAAAATAGTAAGACTTTATTTGAAAACATAAACAAATGTGGCTTCGGATAATGTTCATTGTGTAGATGTGTATAAGGAGAAAAAAGCTGAGGGTTTTGTGTCGCTTTAATAAAGGAACATCAAGTGAGTTACCTAGTTTTTGTGTGTAACAGTTACTTACAGTCATGGCCAAAAATATTGGCGCCCATGCATTTCTGTCAGATAATGCACCACTTCACGCAGAAAATTGTTGCAATGACAAATGTTTAGGCATTCTCATGTTTATTTCTTTTGTTTGTTCTGTTGTTGTTTTGTTGTGTACATAATGATACTCAGGAAATGGTGTATATATTGTATATAAATATTACTAACTCGCATATTCCCTACACATATTTAATGTTCGGATGACTAAACAGAAATAATCTTTCTCTTCAAAGGTAACATTTCAAATATGTGGTGCAGATATTGCTTTCAGTTTTTACTCTACTCCTGGAGGCTGTAAATAAATATTCTTAAATGCCAAACCCAAATTAAATTTACATTGTAATTTCCATGTAGGCAATAACAAGTTCTATGCAAACATGTTCATTTACTTAAAGCAGAACTACAATCTCCTATCCCTTACAACCAAGGAAGGTGCCATTTTAGCCTCTATTTGAATTGCAGTTGCCATGGTGCTGCACATGTGATTAGCTATGACATCAGCCTTTTGAGGGCTTGAAAATTCAGTTAGGAGTTGAAATAAGCACACTGGCAGCCTTAAGAGTTGCCAAGCCTTAAAAGTAAGCGTTTTGGGGGACATTAAAGTGGTGGGCAAAGTTCCACTTTAACTACTAAAATAGCATAAGTGTAGCCCTGGCCGGCGGGCCTTTAAACAGTGGGAGCTGCATGGCTTGGGCTTTCCACAGGCCAAACGGCAACTATATCTTGCTTCCCTGCCACAATAGGACAGTGCAGCAGGAGGGACGTGAGGAAGAAGATGACTTGAGTTGGCCACAGTTGGAGGCTGGATGTTAACCCACTGCTGGGACCAAAGGAGAGGAGGGAGATGGGCAGCAAGTTACAGGCTGGGAACCTGGGGAGAAGAGGGATATATATGAGAGAGGGGATAGATTGTGCTGCCATTGAGCCTAGTGGCAGACTGAGACTGGCTGGAGCAGACAGAAAGGAGAGAATCTGGGGAGCCCATGCTGGGGTCCACTGTGTGTGCTGGGAGGAACACGAGAGCTGCAGGGAGCTAGGCACACAGAGACAGAGCAGGAAACAGAATGCTGAGTAGGCAGAACAAGCAGCAAGGAGTCACAGTCTAATAGGCAGCAGAGCAGACTGAGCAGTGAGAACTGCTGCTTTAAGCTGTACTCAACAAGGGCCATGGGAAAGAGTGGCAAAAGCACCCAGGGGCCGCCCTGTTTTGTCAAACCCAGGTTCAACCCACTGATCCGGAAAAAAGGGGGGGGGGGGTTTACTCCTGGAGATCCGAAACACTTATTACCCTTTAGATTTGTCCGTCAACCATATCTGAAACCGGCATAAACCATGTACAAAACGGGATTGGGCCAGCTATATAGTATAGCTGGTCCTAGAGGTTAACAATAGATCGGGACAAACCACATAATTCAGTGAAAAAGGTTTATTAGGTATAAATATGTGAAAATAAACACTGTATACCTCATACAATGTAACTGGATAAGGAAGTGGGTCCTTTTTACAATGCACTTAGTAATAAGGACCCACTTCCTTATCCAGTTACATTGTATGAGGTTTACAGTCCGTATCTTATCTTGATTTTAATTGTGTTCACAGTGGTCTAATGGCTGTGTTTATTTTCACATATTTATACCTAATAAACTTTTTTCACTGAATTACGTGGTCTGTCCCGATCTATTGTTAACCTCTAGGACCAGCTATAATATATAGCTGGCCCAATCCCATTTTGTACATTCAACCCACTGATACACTGATGACAAGCTCACCATTGGCAGAGCTGATAAAACAGATAGGGATCTCTGTACCAGGGAACTTTAGAGCCTTCTCTACAGAGTGAATGCCAGGGTGGTGTAACACAGATCATCCCTGAATGCAATGAACTGCAAGAGACAGTAAAACAAAACACTTGTGTCTGCCCCAGCTTCTTTTTTGTTTTGAATAGTGAGTGTGATTAAAGTGCCGCTAAACTTGGGAGTTAAAGCATAAGAATGCATCCAGCCACCTTAACTATTAACAAACATGTATCTTAATTGTGTATCACTCAGCTATAGATCTTCCAATCATCTCTAAATTGGTGATGAACTGTCCTTCCTTCTAGAGGGTGGCTACTTTATTCCTCATGGTTCCTGTGTGTGCTGTAAAGTAGCCACTGTTCCCAGACCTCTCCTGTGATGGACTACATTCTCAATACAAAGGAGTAAACTAAACGTACACAATTGTAGTTCATCACAACAGCGAGCTTGGAGCGTTTCAGTTTAAAAAAAAATGTGCCTTTGTGCTGAGGTTAATGTGTGTCTAATTACTTTTATTTGTGTCACAGTAATTAAGGAGTATTTTGTGAGTACAAGGATTGCAGCATATATGTGTGGTGTATACTGACACTTAGGCTACAATAAGCCATGATCAATGTAGCATAATTTAACCACACCCAGTTTCTGCTGTGAAGCACTGTGCACTGCAGATACCCCAACTTTCTCAAATGTCCTTCAAGTGGTAGAGTTGGGAGGTTTGCAGTATGCACTTGGATCCATACTACTGGGCTCTTTGAATGTGTCTCCAGAGCTGCCAGTGGATGACTTTCTAAGTGCACTGTGGGAAGATTCTTCAGACGTAGATGGAATGACCGAAGCAGTGAGGCTAGATGGTGATCCACCGGAACAGCAACGCTGCATGCAGAATTAGCATGATTTCTTAGTAGTACTAATGTTTGGCTCTGATCTCACATCATGTAGCATTATTTATACCACCTACCTGTCTCCTTTGTGTGAAAGATACTCCCAGGTAAGAAGGTAAGAAATTATAAGCTATAGGACAAACTGTGTGAGACTTCTTATATAGTGGCAGATTCCAATCTTCACTTGGTAATGTCTCAACCAGTTGGACAGTTTATTGCAGCAGTATATAAAAACCAAGGAGCTGATTTATTTCACTTGTTGCATATACCGAATAAGAGGATTTGTGACAAGTTTAACACCAAAAGTAATTTAGCACAGTGTTTACTACAACTTTTTCAGTTATGTTTATGTTGAGGTTTACTGTACTCCGTACACTTGCTAAATTTTTATTGGCACAAAAACATTAGGTCCCCGTTCAACCCAGGACGTATTGTGAAGGTGTAACAAATGCGCACAATAGTGCGCGCTTTGACACACGTTTACGATACGTGCACAAACACAGAATGCACTTACTAGGTAATATCACCCCAAACATGGCTGAGAAAATGCATTTTATCCCAAGTTTTCCTGCGTGGGGAATGAACACAGAACACGTCACCAAATTTGAGACATGTAATACTTTTTGGCGGCAAACAAACGCTATGCGAGACGCGCGTTCCTGCTAAACCCATATGTGAATGATACGATGAGGAGTTCGACATCTGGATCGGCTAAGCCTAACCTCCGGCAGGCTACTCGCTGCTGTTCGGTCTATTCTTATAGATGCTGAACAGCAGTGAGTGAATAGCCGAATGCCGCTGAGCGGCTCGGCTGTTCTGCTCGGTCCCTCTGTGGGACCGAGAAGAACAGAAAAATAGTTTTAAAAGTACAAAGAAATAAATAGAAAACGATTGGGCGGAGCTAGCAATGACAGCTAGCTCCGCCCAACCGTTTTCTATATGCAGGCGGCTCTGCTGCCGTCAAAAAAAAAGAAAAAAGTAGCATTGCACCCGCCCTCTGCTGATGGACCTGATAGAGAACTGCAGCAGAGGGCGGGTGCAATGCTAGTTTACTATTGGCTATTGCAAATTGAAATAGCCAATAGGAATCTAGCAATGGATTCCTGGGCGGCCGGGACCGGGAGACTCGTGGCTCAGC